CTACCTGCCTGTCTGTCTATAGCTATCTTACAGCTACCTGCCTGTCTATAGCTATCTTACAGCTACCTGCCTGCCTGTCTGTCTATAGCTATCTTACAGCTACCTGCCTGCCTGTCTGTCTATAGCTATCTTACAGCTACCTACCTGTCTGTCTGTCTATAGCTATCTTACAGCTACCTGCCTGCCTGTCTATAGCTATCTTACAGCTACCTACCTGTCTGTCTATAGCTATCTTACAGCTACCTACCTGCCTGTCTATAGCTATCTTACAGCTACCTACCTGCCTGCCTGTCTATAGCTATCTTACAGCTACCTTCCTGCCTGTCTATAGCTATCTTACAGCTACCTACCTGCCTGTCTATAGCTATCTTACAGCTACCTACCTGCCTGTCTATAGCTATCTTACAGCTACCTACCTGCCTGTCTATAGCTATCTTACAGCTACCTACCTGCCTGTCTATAGCTATCTTACAGCTACCTGCCTGCCTGTCTATAGCTATCTTACAGCTACCTTCCTGCCTGTCTATAGCTATCTTACAGCTACCTTCCTGCCTGTCTATAGCTATCTTACAGCTACCTGCCTGCCTGTCTATAGCTATCTTACAGCTACCTACCTGCCTGCCTGTCTATAGCTATCTTACAGCTACCTACCTGTCTGTCTATAGCTATCTTACAGCTACCTGCCTGCCTGTCTATAGCTATCTTACAGCTACCTACCTGCCTGTCTGCCTTTCTATAGCTATCTTACAGCTACCTGCCTGTCTGTCTATAGCTATCTTACAGCTACCTGCCTGCCTGGCTATAGCCTTCTTACAGCTACCTACCTGCCTGTCTGTCTATAGCTATCTTACTGCTACCTATCATTTCTTATGATTAAAAAGAGTGCATGGAGGGTACAGTCACATGACTTCTGTGTTTTACAGCCCTCAAGACCGGTCTGGCCCTAGATCTCCATCTAAGATGGATAAACCGGCGGCCTGCCCTGGATGTGGTTCCTTTGGATAACTGCAGACTATGCCGCAAGTGCTTATCCATGGTTGCAGGAGAGTCTGAACTTCGCAGGTCACCTCAAGCCTCTACATCCTCAGCTTTGGATCCTTTATCCTTTTGTATAAAGCAAGCTGTGGCGGAAGGGATTTCCAAATCCAATAGAGGTAAAAGACCCAGATGTGAGAGCTTTGGCCGAGAATCCGACTTCTCAGAAGAAGACTTCAGACACACGGCTGGTTCCTTAGAATTAGAGCCTATCTCTTCTAGTGAGGAAGAGCTCATGGAGTAACACTGCTTGTTAGATGCGAAGTCCATGGAACATCTGATCATGGCAGTAAGAAAAACTTTGGATTTGCCTGAAGAAGTC